GTAATAATGAAAGTTAACATAAACCTATAATCATTAACATGTAACAATAAAAGTTAACATAATGTAGCCACGGTTAATCAGAATGTCTAAACTTACTGATGGGCTGTTTCATTGCAGAACTGAGAGAGCCATCTGTTCTCGTCTGGTGTGAGCTTTTCTGCTATATGCTGAGGCACTCTAAAGTTGTGAACGAAGGTTCCTTCACTATCAATCACACGTATGCTAAAATCATCAATGTTGGGAATACACTCGTTTAGCAACTTCAATAGAGCCTCCTCATTCTTCTTGATTTTCCTCTTCCCAAGAAAATTCCAAGTGCATTCCTCAGGCTTACAATAGAACCTAATTTTCTCCCACTCTTCATCCTTGTGTGGTGATATGTTAATTATATCTGGACGACCGTCCTTCTTCTTTCCTTCAGTGAAAAGGGTTCGGACTAGATATGAGCGAGTCCTCTTTCTGGTAATTGGTCCCCTAATACCCCTTGACACAAGTTTCTTCGATCTCTTGCCGATAAACTTGCACTGATCCTTATCCTCCTCACTAGCCCAAGCTTTCCCCACATTCTCAACCTCCATCTCTTTCCATTCCTCCTTCGCTGCTCCTTCTCTTCTCTTCATGCTCCATCTCTTGCTCTTCCTCTTTCTTCTCATCTTCTCTCTCTTCCTCTTTCTTATCCTCCTCGCTATGCACGGCTTTCTCCACATACACAACCTCCATTTCTTGACATTCACCTTTCTCTGCCTCCTTCTCTATTTGCGCAACAGCCTCGGCAATATGAGAAGCTTCCTTGCCAATGTTCGTTACATCGTCATAATCAAAACAAATTCCATCATCACCCATATCACCCCTATCATTAGAATCAAAACTCTTTCTTATTTTCCTCTGTGCATACCCTTTATGCCTATCATTTTGTGACATAAGTTCCCTCATATTTTTCTTCAGGTCTTCGGGGTCAATCAAGTCTTCGACTCCTTCATAGTACTCCAATTTCTTGTTCAACCTATGTATCTCCTGGGAGCAAGCATCTCATTGAAGGCGCTTGCTAGGCTTGACAGCGTGAAGCAATTTCCAATATATATTGGTTGTATTCCTCCAAAAATAAATTTGCTCTATAGGTGTCAACTTATCTATTTCATCTTCTCTTGAAAAAGCATCAGCGATATGCTGGGATAAAATCTAAAAAGTACACCATATACCCTTTACCCATGTAAATCCACAAGATTAAGCAGAATAGTTATGAAAACCCATAAAAGAAAGTTAACATGAAACAATGCAAATTGAAAATGAATTAATGATAACGATAAAATATTTAACTCAATGTAAATATGCTGTGATGTGTAAAGAGTCATTGCTGCTTACGTAACCCACAGATGAGCTCTTTGGTCTGGCCATCACCTTCTCTTGCTTCCCAGCCTTCTGCTTTTCTTTCTCGTTCATCTTTCTCGGCCTAGTTTGCTCTTTGGTCTGCCCATTACTCCTTTTCTTCTCTTGCTTTCCGGACATTGGGCTTCTATTTTTCCCAAAGCGAGTGAATTCAATCTTCTTCCTGCTGGGCTCCCTTTGAGGGTATTTTTCACCCCATCCAATGCTGAGTGAAATTGGTTTCTCCTCAAGTTTTATGCTTGCTTTCTTGGTCTTAGAGACGATTGTCTCCATCCTCAGCGATCCAGCCGTCCCTCCGACCCTTACCCAGTTGGTCATCGAAGGCTTCCACCTCAAGTTTAGGGCTGGTTTTTTAATGCCAGTCATCTCAAAGTACCAAAGCTATCAGAATCGAAGGATCAATTGTCAAAATAGTTAACTTGCATAACTCTTTCTTGAACTACAACATACTAAATAGCTAGCCTTCACTTCACTAACCCATGTTAACATTACTGGGTACATGTTACCTTTCACTTATTAATGTTAACTTTAATTTTTATATGTTAAAGTTTATGTTAACATGTTAACTTTCACCTATTAATGTTAACTTTTACTTTTATATGTCAAACTTCATGTTAACATGTTGATTTTAACATGTTAACCTATTAACGTCCAATGTTGTACATGTTTTCTAATGCATGTTACCATGACTCCTATTAACTAGATCAAATGTCAAGCCAGATGATCATGCAACATACAGGGATGAGCGGCATGCATCCAGGTACGTATGTAACCCCTGGCTTCCTCATCCCTTGAACAGCAATTTGAATGCCTCTCTTCGTCTCATCAAAAATAAATTTACCCCACGCAATGGTCTTCACTCTCTCGATACTATCTACATATTGAAACAATTGTCTTGGGATGCCTTGAGAGCTGTTGGGGCACCAAATCGTTGCACATTGGTACAATATCTGAAGCAGCACAAAATCCTCAATGTCCTTATTATCAGAGGACTCAACAAGTGTTTCCAGCAACTCCTCGATATATCTCCTCATGCTACCAGCTTCTAGTGTAGCCTTGGCCTTTGCCTTTGCCTTTGGCTTGGCCTTTAGCATTTCTTTCTTATCTTCAAAGTATTGCCTCCAAAGTCGGTTGTGAGGGTCTCTATTCCCGTAGATCAGCTCCCCATCAATGGGAAAGCCTGTGTGAGTATGCACCCACTCTTCATCAAATTTCACTGAAAATAAAGGCATTAACATAGTCAAAATCACGTTTTATTAACATGATTAGCTAATAGTTGACTCTTAAGAGTAAACGTTAACAACAAACACAGATTATTGACATGCATTGCTACTAGCTATCAACAATTGAGAATTGTTTACATGCATTTCTTCCAACCCCACAACACTTCATATTGTTCAGATCTTCCTCCAAAATTAAGAAACTGCTTATACACTACAATAACCAGTCTCTCACCACCATTTCCTTCAAAAAGGAACCCATAAACCACAATTAAAATCAACATCACTCATTTAAAATAATTAAATTCAAAAACCCTCAATTGGTTGGGAACTTACTTCTTCTTTGAGATGGACACATCCTCCCGCGAGCGTCTCCTCTTACGCTCTCGATTTTCCTGACTTTTTATGCTCAATAGGGTTTCTATCGCCTCGTTACTCTCCTCATCATCAGAGGATGGCGGAACAGAATCGCTGGCGTGAGATATCAAGGCGGAGGTGGAGGGGGATAAGTTTGGTAGTTTCTCCTGCGCAAGTCGTGTCGACCGACGCCGGTGACGAACGTCCGCTTCCGTTTGAATCTGGTCTACTTCACCCTTGCGTCGTTTAGGGTCCTTAGCCATTTCTCTTATAATTTTCTTCGGCATTTTCCTTGTGGATTTCCTGGCCGCTAGAGTCAAACTAGGGTTTTCAAATTGGGTTCGCAAGCTGAAGGAGGTTCGAGTTTTAGGGATATTTGTGGGTCTGCAGAGAAAAGAGCACGAGCGAGAGAAAGAGGGAGGGCAGATTTGGGGACGAACAGTTACAAGGGCAATTTCGTCTTTAGAGACGAAATGTGCTCTCAGAGTTGTCTGGGAAATGAAAAAGGGGCTGAAACATTATTGAGTTGGGTATTGGGGGCTTGATCACACAAAAAAAATACAGGGGGCCTAGTCACAACCGGATCTTTTTTTTGGGGCCTTAAAACATTTTTCCCAAATAAAAAATAAGGAAAAAGAAAATGAAAAGGAATTTGAGGAAGGAAATATTTAAGAATGTGTTTCTACTCATTTATTTATAAAAAAAATAGGAAATATATTTCTTTAAGTATGAGTCACGTCTACCAATGAAAATGTGCCGCATAATCTTTTCGCTTTATTTCAACTTGTGAACCAAACAAAATAATATAATCATTATAAGAAATACATTTCTTATAATTGATTTCCTTAATATTTGGCCAACAAAACAGCACTTTAGAATATAGTAACTTGCACTAAAATGTAGCAACTTAAATATAAATATAGTTGATATTGGCTCGATTACATCCTTGGAGTTGAGGATGTCATATACTTTCTGTATACAATCACAATTAGTAATGGTCCCTGTCTTCAATAAAAAAAAGTAATGATATCATGCTGGGGCTCAGTTTGAAGGTCTGATATTTATTTCTTTAAAAAACATATAAATATTAATATATCATTACACAAAATCATAGCAAGAAACTAGAATAAAAGTTCTATCAGAACATTCGAGGGCATGAGATGCCTATATCATTGACTCATAGTTAGAGAGTTAGCTTCATAGTTATAGCTATTCTATCATCAGTTTGATATGACCCCTACTGAAAAGTTAACCAATAGTATATAGAGAATGGATTCAAACACAATTTAGCATGTATTTGGAATAAGGTCGGTTTGAAATAAAGCAGGATAAAACTCTGGTTCTGTAAAGAAAAACTTTTAAATAACAATTGTTAAAAGGGGTTTTTTTTACAAAGACCGTTTTCGAAACTTTGTTGGCAAAGTCAATGGTCCGCGGATTTAATTAGCAAAATGGATCTCTTTTGTTAATTTTGAAAAATATAATTTTTAAAATACACGGGACTAGTAGTCACGTGTAATTAGTGTTGGCTAATCACATGCTAATTAAACTTTAAAAAATACACGAGACTAATTAAACTTTATTAGGATGTAATTAGGCATCGCTAAATTCATGCGACTAGTAATCCCGTATATTTTAAATCTTTATTTTTGCAAAATCGAACTCGGTCGATATTGTTAATTATATATAAAGGGTCGATTTTGTTAATAAAGCTTCAAAAAAGCCTTTTTTTTAATTCTCCTTCGTCAAATGCTGTCATAAATGTGGAGAGAGAAATGGTCAGAGAGGTGTCAGAGAGAGGATCTTGGCCGTCCGCTTGGGGGCTGTTTGGTTGTATGTTTTCACCATGTAAAATGATGGAAAGTGTAAAAAAGTGGGTCCCATTGTCAGCTTCCCCCTTTTTCAATTGTTTGCTTGTAGCTGTAAAAATAATGTAAACTGCTTTACTTTGCTGATGTGGCAGGTAAAGTCAATTCATAAAAAAAAAACCTGAATTGGGCAGAAAGCTGACGACAAGTCAGAAAAAAATTCTAAAAAAATCAGCTTTTTTCAACCAGCGCCTAGGGTTACCTCCTCTTTCGTTCAACCAGCTTTTTTTTCACCTTTCTCCTCCGCTCCTGACTGCAACTCTGTTCGGAGAAGAAGAAAAATCGGCGCCAAGTCTCCGTCGTTTGCTTCCCTTCAAGTCGGAGAAGGAAAAACCGGCGACTCCAAGTCTCCGTCTCCGTCGTTTGCTTCGCTTCAAGATCCGCTCGAGGAAAGGATTTGGTCGAGGTATAAAAATTTCGCCTTTCTCTATTATTTCAAGTTCCCTTTCAAATTTCTTTTATTTTTTGCATCGAGGTATAAAAATTTCGCCTTTCTCTATTATTTCAAGTTCCCTTTCAAATTTCTTTTATTTTTTGCACAAAACTTTAAATTAATTTCGATCTGTCAAACACCCCTTTCAAATTTCTTTCAAAATTTGCCTTTCTCTCAGATTTTTAGTAGATTCCAGGGTTCATATGGGGTCTTTTCGTGTTCGTAGTAGTGGAATTTGAACTGGAGGAAATCAAATTAAGTTATTTGATTGAATTAATCTGAATTAGTTGTTGGTGGGTTAATTGGATTTGAGTTAATTTGAATTGATTTGTTCTGCTTGGTTGCTTTTTTCCCCTTTGTGTTGGCATTATTATTTCTAGTAAGTTAACTTGATTATTAGTGTTGATTGCTGAGAAAAGATGATTTACTAAATGCCTAGTTCATTATTTTGTGCATTAAGGTTCTGCAATTCACAGGCTCTAATATATGGGAAAAACCATACTCCTGGTATACATGGGTTAGAATGATGCTTGCCCTTAAACCTGAAAATCCAATTGGTATAATGCATACATATTTTCTTCCCAAATTTTGAGCTCATGGAAACGAATAACTTCAATCCACTGATTATACATATTTAACAGACTCTAATTGGTATAATCCACTGATTATACATATTTTGAGCTCATGGAAACGAATAACCTGGAAATCCAATTGGTATAATTCACAGACTCTAATATTTTATAGTTTTGATTCATGGATATGCACTTTATTTATGATCCACTGATTATACATATTTAACTTCATATAGCTAAAGATCATGCAAATAACTTCAAGTTAAACATGAGATATACATGCTTATCTCTTGACAAAAAACCAACGTATGGAAAAAATATATTTTTTTATTTCTAGGGATACAAATCCAAATTAAAAGTACTAGGTTTGGTCTAACATTGTACTAAATTACCCAACATAAAGTAAATAAACGATAAATCGCAGTTTTGAGGCTCTAAATAATCTCAAGTATATATTGTTCTAACATTTTGTTGTATGGAATTTTCAAGCACTATTCTTTTCATGCACTATTTCTCAGGAATCATGTTATATTTACTCAAAGCTTGAATGTATATAACTTTCTTAGGCTATAATTTATTACTTTTACTTTCGTACTTTCAAAAACTAATTACTTTCTTACAATATATAAAAAAGATGGACAGAAATGAAGTTATGCGTAGGATGAACAATGCAGCAGCTGTTGCTACTGTACTAGTTATGCTAATGGTATTCATACGCCGATATCAACATCGTCCACTTAAAAGACGTAACATCCCTCGTCATCCTTCGTATGTAAGAGACTTAGACAAACATTCTCATATGCGTCGGATATTAAATGGTAGTACATCGAGTTGTCAAGACTATCTCAGGATGCGTATTGGACCTTTTATGAACTTAGCTCAAATGATGAGAGATGGGGGCTTATTGAAGGACACAATCCATGTTCCTATAGAAGAACAGTTGGCTACATTTCTCTACAAAATGGGACACAAGTCTAAAAATAGGGCTCGCAGAATTGACTTCATACGTTCCGGGGAGACTATTAGCAGGTATTTCAATAAAGTTCTAGGAGCTATTTTTTCTCTTCGGGATAGGTTCATGAAACAAGCCCCAAATGAAACTTCGGCAGAAATTATGGAATCTAGTCAATGGTTTCCATTTTTCAAGGTAAGTTACGTATATTAATTATAAACAGTTATAGCTATTCTATTGAGATGATACTAATTAGGATCTTGAAAGATATTTTTTATTCAGGATTGTATTGGTCTAATAGATGGAACACACATAGATGCAACAGTGCCAACTAAAGATGCTCCTAAATTTAGAGGACGCAAAGGGATCACACAAAATGTTTTGGCTGCAGTAACACCAAATAAACGATTCACATATGTGATGGCTGGTTGGGAGGGAGCTGCAAATGACTTCACAATTCTTAAGGATGCACTATCCTTACCCCCACCAAATGGTTTGAGAGTCTACGAAGGTAAGACATAAACAAAAATTTGATTAAGATGATAAATTAGTCAATATATTAGTAGGTTATATGTAATATAATAATGCACTTCATCAATATTGTAGGAAAATATTATTTGTGTGATTTGTAGGGAAATATTATTTGTGTGATGTTGGATACCCAACCATGCCGGGATTCATTGCTCCTTATCGTGGTGTACGATATCACTTGAAAGAACATAGTGGAAGAGTTCCTAACAATCGTCGAGAGTTATTCAATCTTCGGCATTCAACGCTTCGTAGTAAGATAGAATGCACATTTGGAATCTTGAAAAGTCGATTCAAGATTCTTTCTGCCAAACCTCATCATCCTTTCCCAAGTCAAGTAAACATCGTAATTGCATGTACTATTTTACATAATTATATTGCTATTATTGATCCGAATGATAAGTTCTTGAATGAGTTTATGCATGTAAATGAGGAGGATGGAGATATCTTGAATGAAGATGCACCCATTATTGATTTTACACAACAAATGACTCAACGAGAACAACTTGATACGCGGGAAGAGTGGAAGTCACGACGAGATCAAATTGCATAAGAAATGTGGATTGAATATTGTAATCGACATCGTAAAGGAGTCACGTATGAGACACCTTTTTGAGATTTATATGTAATGTTTGTAATGTGCTATGTTATGCAATTTAAACTTTGTTATGATTTGTAGGATTTGAACATTTCAACATGTATGCAATATGGTATGTAATGTTGCTTTATGTAGAATTTAAACTTGTGATTTGTAGGATTTGCGAGATCAATTTGTTTGTTTTTGTTTCTATAGAGAAGTTCAGTGAGATTATTTGGTTTGCTTTGTTGAAGAACTTTGGATAGTAATAGAAGGCGAGTCAATTTTTGTTTAACTGTTGCCGGAGTTTTTCTTTTGTTAAAAATTTATTTGTGAAGTGTTTGGTTTAGACTTTAGTGATGATGGGAATGTCAAAGCACTCTGTTTTGTATATTCTAGATCATTTCAACATGTTTTGTATATTCTAGATCATTTCAACATGTATGCAATGTGGTATGTAGTGTTGTTTTATGTAGAATTTAAACTTGTGATTTGTAGGATTTGATCGTTTTAAAATATATATATATTTTTGCTATTTGTATGATAATTGTTTTTTCTTTTGACAATGTTTTTGCAAGCAGGGATGGAGAATCAAAATGGCTCATTTCGTCCGAAATTTTATTCTCAAAATAGAGATAGTCAAGAGAGTCAAGAGAGTCAAGAGAGTAAAAATTCAAATGCAGCACTTCATGATAATAGCCCTACAGAAAGAATGCCCCAAATTCCATTCTCATTTGGGTCTTTCCAAACTCCAACATCTGGATATGGTTCTTTCCAAAATCCTATGTCAGGTATGATGCCTCCTCCTTATGCTTGTGGACCATGGATGCAATTTTTAAATGGTACACCAATGCCACAAATGAGATCACAAAGTTCACTCATGAGTGGAACGCCAAGATCATTATCATTTGAACTCCCCTCATCGAATGCTAGTGGCGGGTCTAAGAGGGTAGCTCGTGAACAAGATGAGGAAGTTTCGTCACCTTCAAAAAAACTTAATCAAACTGTGAAAGTGAAGAAAGCTGGAAACATCATGTGGGATGATCAGCAGATACACACAAGTGTATCTGCTGTGTATCTGCAGCAGATACACACAAGTGTATCTGCTGTGTATCTGCAGCAGATACACACAAGTGTATCTGCTGTGTATCTGCAGCAGATACACACAAGTGTATCTGCTGTGTATCTGCAGCAGATACACACAAGTGTATCTGCTGTGTATCTGCAGCAGATACACACAAGTGTATCTGCTGTGTATCTGCAGCAGATACACACAAGTGTATCTGCTGTGTATCTGCAGCAGATACACACAAGTGTATCTGCTGTGTATCTGCAGCAGATACACACAAGTGTATCTGCTGTGTATCTGCAGCAGATACACACAAGTGTATCTGCTGTGTATCTGCAGCAGATACACACAAGTGTATCTGCTGTGTATCTGCAGCAGATACACACAAGTGTATCTGCTGTGTATCTGCAGCAGATACACACAAGTGTATCTGCTGTGTATCTGCAGCAGATACACACAAGTGTATCTGCTGTGTATCTGCAGCAGATACACACAAGTGTATCTGCTGTGTATCTGCAGCAGATACACACAAGTGTATCTGCTGTGTATCTGCAGCAGATACACACAAGTGTATCTGCTGTGTATCTGCAGCAGATACACACAAGTGTATCTGCTGTGTATCTGCAGCAGATACACACAAGTGTATCTGCTGTGTATCTGCAGCAGATACACACAAGTGTATCTGCTGTGTATCTGCAGCAGATACACACAAGTGTATCTGCTGCAGATACACAGTCACGAAGTGCTCCATCCTCTATATTAGGATCTATCTGCGATAGGCATGACCTTTGTCCAGGTACTAGAGGAAAATTTACGGCTATCTCCCTCTTCTCAGAGTTATCATAACTATGAGAGACATCATAAACCAACTTACTTTGATTCCTATTCTTAGAAAAGACCAACGCATTGGAACACATGGTTTCAGAGACAGGTACCGTAGGTCCGTTGTTCACTTTCAGCAAACCTCCAGATGACATCATGGTTGGCACATTCCTGAATATATGCCCCCAGTAAGCAGCCTACCTTTCCGCCATAAATATCCCACATGCTCTCCACTCCTCTCCTCTCTTATCTTCGAAATCTTTTCAAAGTTAAATTTTCAGGGTATGGCAGCTCGCCTGCGGTCTCGTGAAGCGCGCTCGCCGACTTGCAAACACTTCTGTTAAGCGCTAGTTACTAGTTTTAGCAAATTCTTTATCTTGGAAAATGAACTGCAAATATTCAATAAAAATCGCAGCTACTAATCCAAACAAGTATATTTCAGTGGACCACAAATTCAATATGTAGTGTCCAGATCAATTTCTTCATTCATCACAGCATATGATAAAATACATTTTTATTCAAATATGAGAAGATATCCGTAAATAACCATGCTATTCGTTTCAGATACAACAATATTTTCCACCTCACCGTATAAAGTATGATTGAACAGATTTTCAAATAACTACACGTAATTTATAAGCTAAACAGATAAAATCCTACAAATTTAAACTCCAACATACATACCTCGGGGAAATCGAAAGCATCCTCTTCTCGTAGCTCAGCTGCTTTGCGCCTCAATAGCCATCCCGTCCATTGTCGTATTCATCATAATCTCCGTTGGCTTCAGGCCCCCTCTAATTGACTCGTGTCCAAGCTGTTGCCTCTCATTATCCCCAAACCCAAACACCACACCCTTGTTAGTTACAGCAACAGTGTGGTAGAGACCAGTGCTAATCTGAGAGATGTAGTGGGATCTCAAATTTTCAAGGATTCGTGGTTTCATAATTTTATCTGAGCACCCACGGTCAGAGAAGCCCAAGCTACCAAAGCCCATCCAGCCAAAGGCAAAAACAGATCCCTCATCGGTGAGAACAAATGTTTTTCTCTTCCTTGCACAAACCTGTCCGTGTGCAACGTGGTTCAAATAAGAACATATAGCAATTGTGTTCCATAGGGAAAAGAATTCCTGGCTAACGACAATACAAATAAGACTGCAAACAGTAGCAAGTAAAATACATGGTGTCTAAGATGGTCATACACGCCAACTCACATAATGTTTTAGACATATATTAAAACATAGTGTAAAGATATGGTCCAAATATTATGAACAGAGGCCCAACATTATGAGAAGTAATTGCCATCACAAATGCCAGATTAATTTGTGGAAATTCAGAAATGAGGATGACACTACATGGAACTGTAGTGGTGTGTGGTATATACATGTCTCATTCTGGAAGATGAAACTATCGAAGAGATGGAAGGAGAGAGCAAAGAAAAACGTTTATATAGGGACCCAAGATGTGCCTACTGTGTTCCCTACAATTAATTTTCTTTTCCTCTTCCAGGCTGTTGCATATATTAAAACATAGCGTAAAGATATGGTCCAAATATTATGAACAGACGCCCAACTTTATGAGAAGTAATTGCCATCACAAATGCCAGATTAGTTCGTGGAAATTCAGAAATGAAGATGACACTGCATGGAACTGTAGTGGTGTGTGGTACATACATGTCTCAATCTGGAAGATGAAACTATCGTCGAGATGAAGGAGAGAGCAAAATAAAACGTTTATATAGGGACCCAAGATGTGCCTACTGTGTCCCCTACAATTAATTTTCTTTTCCTCCTCCAGTCTGTCGCACAATGTAGGAACGACTTTGCAAATTTCACAAAAAGCATTGATATGGGCATATGCTAATTGAGTATGCGGAGAGCCCACACGTCCCAAAGCAGAAACAAGATTAAGTTCCTTTAAGAAATGGCTACCACACTTCATGCCAGCATGACCGATTGGGAAGTAGAAGACAAACCCAAAAAAACGAAGTAGGAATGCAAAGATGATATCATAAAGTATAGATGACCAATGTCCTTTATTTAACAAGAAATAAGATTTAAGGAAAAACGCTTTCTACACTACAACAATTGGATCTGAAACTACAACTAAATTATCTCTATATCTCCATTATAAATGAGCTGCAATTTAGACAAAAGAAAGATGAGGGAAAGAATCTAGAAGGATGTCTTGTGGAGGGCAAGGTTATCAAGAACACAGAGAACCTGGATATACATACATAAAGGAAAAAAATATGTAGACTACTGCTCCTGAGATGTGACTTATTACAAGTAGGGCTCTCTGGATGCTAGGTCAAAATGAAATACATTTATCTGGAAGGTGGAAAATTTTACAGGATGGTGGATACACAACTGCATGTGTAAGTGCATGCGCGCGCGAGCATGGGTGTTTTGTGTTTGTGCGCACACACATCCGTATTTGTGAGATCGTTCAAGACTTAAACCAGAGTTCAACTCTCCTTATTAACCCTCCCCCAGTTGTCAGGCTTATCTTTCTAGTAAAGTATAACGTCTAAAATATATTTACTTGATGCAGCGTTTGTTCCTTCAAATTAAACTATCTCGCATTGTCTCTTATCAAAAGAATATCTCTTACATTCTCTCTGTCTCTTCTATTAGCTGCTTAGTGATAAGGAAATTTCAGAGAGCCACATGTGGTACTAAAGGAGTCGTTGAGAGTTGAAGATATCTTTCTAATCTACTACCATCCATGGGTTGGAGCATCTGAACTAAATTGCAGAGGTAAGAGGTCCCACTTTTCAGTAGCATATAAAGGATCTGATTTGTCATGGCAGAATCTCAGTATAGTAACAGTCATCTGATTCAATGTGAAATCTGTATGTTCTACACAAGTGTGGGGGAGGACGGTCAGTACTGGTGCGGGAGGACATCAAGTCAACCAGTTCAGTACTGGAAACAGTTCCAATGAAGAGCCAGTCAACAATATGGTCAGAACTAAGACCACCCATACTGGTCAATAAGACAAATAGCTTGAGTTTGAGCAGAAGATAAGGCTTCATCCTCACTGTCAATGTCCATACTGGTCAATAAGACAAATAGCTTGAGTTTGAGCAGAAGATAAGGCTTCATCCTCACTGTCAATGTTTGAGGAAAAGATCAGATGTAAAGACTTGAGTTTGAGCAGAAGATAAGGCTTCATCCTCACTGTCAATGTTTGAGGAAAAGATCAGATGTAAAGACTAGGTATCTCCAATATAAACTCAAATTTATCGTGCAAATACTATGCAGCTACACATAATCTACTCAGCCTATGAGACATAACAGACCACATGTTGAACACATTGCCTATGGGCCATGGAAATCCATGAATTGAAAAAAAATTCCAGTACACGAACTAGATGTGAGGATTACCACTTGAAGGTCGTTAAACATTATGTATTTATAACAGTGATTGCATGTTGACTGCGGCTAGTTAAACAGCCATGTATATATAGCAGTGCTTACATGAACTGGGCTCAACATGTGTGCAGTATGTGTATAAACAGATAAATACATAAAGATTGTAGCTAGGTACGATAAACGTTTTTCACTGCCAATAACTTCATTAATCTCAAGTTCTGTCCACATGTAGATAGGTAGATATATCATAACTATTTACTAGGAATTAGCTTCATTAAGATCAAATTCAATCAATTCTCTAAAACAATCTCAAATTCTGTCAGCAGACTGTAAAATGTTGAATTATAACAAACCTGAACAGAAAGGTGGCTTTTCAGACTTGTTAGTAACTCTGGGCTAGTTTTGTCACGAATTATAACAAACCTGAACAGAAAGGTGGCTTTTCAGACTTGTTAGTAACTCTGGGCTAGTTTTGTCAGTCTCATCACCATGGCCCAAAGCTCCACAATAGCCTCTACCCCATGTGTATACCTGCAAAAACAATTTATAATTTTTATCCATCCTAAAAATTTAGCAGTTGATAAAGGAAAGAAGAAGAAAATTTTCTTGGAATAGTAAAATCAAATATTCAAGGCTGGCATTCAATAGAAGCCAATATAGATATATTTGTAATTCTAATTGTCAATAACTTCAAATCCAAATCCAAATGTGAATGTGAATTTCCTCCAAATACTCATTGAACACTAAACATATTTGTAACTATTTCACTTAAAAATAGGGTAAGCTACACTTAAATACCCCAAGGTTTGCTAAATTTTCACGAAAATACCCTAACTATTTATCCGTACAAATAAATACCCTAAGGTTTCCAAAAGTATCACATGGATACCTGAAAAAGGGTATCAACATGATACTTTTGGAAACCTCAAGGTATTTATTTGTATGGGTAAGAAAGTTAGGGTATTTTCATGCAACATCGGGAAATCTTAGGGCATTTAAGTGTAATTTACCCTTAAAAATATTCTACACAGTTTATGAACACAGAATTATTTGATAAAAAATATTTTCAATTGGTCCATGGAGTTTGATTCTTTTTTAGTATTTGAATTAGTAATTGAAATTTATTCCTTTCTAAAGATGACAGATATATCAATAATTTGGATCATTAAAAAAATATATGAAAGATTATATGTTAAGAAAGAAACAATTAGACATTAGGATTAGTCTCTCAAGATCAAAATCTAGACTAAAATTGCAAAATGTTAAGAAAGAAACAATTAGACATTAGGATTAGTCTCTCAAGATCAAAATCTAGACTAAAATTGCAAATATGATAACACAAAGTGTATATGATTAACAAACCAATATTTGATAAGCAAACAAATCGAATATGTGAATGCTCATATTCGGTTCATTTAGTTATGATGCCAGAAAAAGTACTTGCTATCTCTCAAATGTTCTTCTACTCAAACTCAAACTATTAAAAGAAAACTTTAAGATGAAAAGTGACTAAACTGTTCGGTAACTATTTAAATAACCACAAATTTATGCAATTGATACTACTGAATTTCACGATGGTTAAATAAGACTCACGTGTCCAATGGAATCAAGTGCTACTGCATGTTCATCACCAGCAGACACACGGACCACATGAATATTTCGCCTCTTAAATGATTGGATAGCCCGCGGAAGAAGTTCATCACGCTGATCTCCATGGCCAAGGCAGAAGTTGGTGCAGGAACCAAAAGAATGAACTGTCCCATCCTTCGTCACAGCAAACGTATAGCTGGCACCTGCAGCAACCTGAACCACATTGCCAGAACCTTCAAATGATTCAACTTTTCTCGGAATTGGTCTATCAAGAGTATCACCATGACCAAGTTGGCCATGAGTGTTGTTCCCACATGTGTACACATGGCCTTGCCTTGTGAGTATTACAGTAAAGCTAAGACCAGTGGCAACCTGCAAAGTGAAATAAATATAACAAGGATGAACAAAGATAAGTCGATGCTAGTGCAGGACTGCAGATCACGAAATTCTCTACACAAAATATCAAAGAGATATTTATCTGTCCAATCAGGAAAAAGAAGATGATTGATAACTGATGAACAAGAAGAAATCATAATGAGTGAACACAAGAAACTTTGATAACTAACAAGCAAGAAGGAACCATAAACTAAAAAGGGAGAAAGCAGAAACTTGAAAAGCACAGCGTACTTTATATTTACGAGGTGGGAATCTCAAAATAGAAATTTGAATCAATACACAGCATGCACAATGAATCGTAGAAGCAAAATTATTTAATTTTCCCCCGAAATCTAAATTATCATGCAAATTTCTCCACATAAACAAATAATGGAAATAAGATAACATTAATGTCGCGTCGCATTGTTCTAAAACATACTAGTTAATCATGTGCATTATGCACGTGGCATTAAAAAGAAAAGAAAAACGTAATTACATATTGAAAAGATGCTTTCTGTATATTCTTTCTTTCTTTTTATCAGGAGATGTTTTTTTTCTTAAACATTTTAACATTAGAAATTTCTATTTAAGAGATGTTTAAGAAATTGAGTTACATTTAGCAAAGGAAGAAAGAAAGAAAGGAAAGCATATTTGTGCAAAATACTTGTCTTGTGTAATTTAATAAAATACAAAAATGAAATTATTGTTGTTTAATTTGATCAATTTTTGAGAAATATGCCAATGAGTATACCATAAAGTACAATATTTCAGCAGCATTTGGATCAAATTCATTGTGCAGGAAACAACAATATAAGATTAGATCTTTTTGTGAGAATTTAATTTTTGAGAATAAAGTATTATAATGACTATTCATACATGCATCTCTAGATGCAGCCTTAATCCAAATTAACTGACAAATGCAATAAAGGTTACATCAGAGTTGTCCTCGAGCTACATGATTTTGCAGTTCTGTATCTTCACATTGTTTCCTACTCTGGAAGAGTGATAGGCCTCCTCTACATGGTAAAGTCACATTGGTGTTTAAAATGGACCATACCCTATAGTGTCACTTTCTTTCTTTCTTCATATAATAAAGCCAAATAATAATAATAATAATCCAGATAGATGGAACAGAGTGATGGGGTGCCTACTTGAATGCTAGTCCTAACAATTATGCAGTAGCGAATGCCACTGATCTGTACAATCAACCTTTTTGTTGTTTATAGTTTAGTGATAATATATAGATTTAGAATGCACTACTTATGTTTGATACTCTAGAAAGTAAAGGAAACAAATTTAAAAAGTTACAAATATCAGCAACCAAGGAACTCAAATTCACAGCATGAGCAAGAATGTATCCTATGATTGCTAAACTAGGAAATAGAATGCTGACTCTTCAATCTACTCCACCAGGCTTCTTGGATTGATGAACAGATGATTGTATTTAACATCATATGTTTAACCATTACAAAACATCTCGTACTTTCTTGGATTGATGAACAGATGATTGTATTTAACATCATATGTTTAACCATTACAAAACATCTCGTACTTTTTTAGAAGGCATAAATGTTCTGACTTGCCAAAAAGCCATTCATTTACACAAGAGACTAAACTTTCTAAGTACTGCTCAACATAAAACCCAGCCTATGCTAACACAACATGTATTTACTTGCAAAATATAAAATGGTATGCTTTAGGAAGGTTGTATGCTACCTGCTTGCACGCGATCCCTTTCAATGCATCAACACATGTTGGCCTAAAAACAGCACGCCTTACCTCTCCATGGCCACAACAGAATGATGAATTATCCCCACAAGTAAAGACCTAATTGACAAAGGGGGGAAGGTCATTAATACAAGCTCTATAGTAAGAAACTTCTAAATAACATCAAATACCTCTCCATTCTCCATAACAAACGCAGCATGGTTGTGTGAAGCAGAGATGTGGATTACACGGGACATGGAGGGAAAATTGATGCGTGTAAATGCTGCACACTGAGTTGTATATTGACCATGACCAAGCACCCCACATAAACTGGATCCACATGAATAGACTGAGGAATCATGAATCAAGAGTGTATGGTATCGTCCAGTATTGACCTGCACCTGGAGAGACAAAGGTATCTTTCAATAAAACCTAAGGTCAGCAAAAGAAATACGACTCAAATTAACTTATAATCACATTGTACTTCTTTTGTTCCTACAGACATGGAAGCCAAAATAGACATTGTCCAAGCATTGAAATCCCAATCTAAATTCAATGAAACAATAAAAAAATTGGACTTGAATTATAGTGTTATATTCGGAAACTGAACTTTAGCAGAAAATCAAGTTCAATCATAATCTTAATGTGCATGCTCGTAGTGTTATATTCGGAAACTGAACTTTAGCAGAAAATCAAGTTCAATCATAATCTTAATGTGCATGCTCGTGAAAATATTTCTGACTTTACCCTGTTAGCAGAAAATCAAGTTCAATCATAATCTTAATGTGCATGCTCGTGAAAATATTTCTGACTTTACCCTGTGGTATTAGATAGACTTAAGTCTAGTAGTGACTAGTTCATGTCTTTTGCATATTCAATTACAAACATTTGAATGTTCCAATATTTATTCAGATACTTCAGATGCAGTGCTATCTATCTCTACATCCGTATATTAAACTAAAAGGATAAAAACTATCCAATTTTACCACGATTTATATACAGCAATGGATCGGATTATTTATATATATTTACAACCCCAGAAGCAAGTCTTGCATTCTGCGAGATATTCATCAAGTAAAAGGATTCAATTTGAACAAGATCTAGAACCTAATGCAGGTAAATTAAGCGTTGTCATATGTTTTTGATAGGGAAAGCAGTTTCAACCTAATGTCAATGTGTATGTAGTACTAAAAAGACCTAGTTCTAGTATGGGCTTGTTCCCTGCATGCTTGGATGCCTAAATTCGAATGTCTGCATGCTTATTCAGAAAATTCGCATAGTATATGGACAAAAGGACTCAAATTGAACCTAATGCATATAAATAAAGCACTCTAGCATAACCAAAGAAGCAGTACATTGCCTGCTGACGTCTCGACCGTCCCCGACGACTGCTCCACCGACTGCAAGAACCTCAGAACCTTCTTCCAACACCCCCCGCATCGATCAAACAGCTCCTTTCTCAACCTCGTCGGCATAGCAGCAAACACCTCGTGGCCCTCGCACAGATGAAACGCAGCAAACTCGACCATCGACCTAAAATCATTCGGGTAACTCCCCCGACCCCCTCTAAACAATCTGCAGGTCATCTCCAAGCAAGCGAGGTCCAAAGAACTGAGCTTTCCCGAGCTCAGTATCTCAAGAACCAAATGCGAAGGCAACTCCTCGATCGAAAGGGTCCGACCGCGATCCGCCATCGAGAAAACTGATCAGAACCAAAACCCTAGCCCCTCCCTGAACTACGAGAAGATCTTGAACCTTGAAATTGGGATCTTGGAGAAGATTAACAAGAAAACGTCCGATGGAAGAAGCATAAAAGAGGTTGAAGAATTCGTGGCGGGCCGAGAGGGAGAGGGATCGCTAAGCATCAGAGGAGGAATTCGAGAGACCGAAATCGGAGAAAGATAGAATTAAATTAAAATGAGAAAAAAACTTGGGGGGGAAATTGAACAAATAGGGGAACGGGGAAAGAGAAAGAGGGGGGGGATCTTTTTGTTAAAAGCTTTCGGGAATTTTCCCACAATACTTCGAGGCGAAGCAGGCGGTGGGGGAATAAAATATTTGGTTTATCTACAAACCCAAAATTTAATCCTAATTTATGGAAACCCACGCACTTCTAAACAAACAATTTTTACGCCTAAAATACGGCTAAATACCCATATTGGTATTTTAATTCCACCCTAATTTCCAACAAGGTATTTTAAATAGTCAAACCCGCTTTAAGACATTTTAATTGATCCAATTAATCAATAAGGCATGTTTTCTTGTCGGCGGGCAAATTTCCGACGAGATCTCGTCACGTGCATGACACGTGATGTCTCAAAACTCATTTTTAGCAGCGGCGACGACAACAATCTCGTCATATTCAGCCCAAAGTAGGATAAAATAACGGTTATGACGCCGCCTGAGATCGCTAACCACATCGAATCAGCTGAATATGACGAGATTGTTGCCGTCGCCGCTACTAAAAACGAGTTTTGAGACATCATGTGCCATGCACGTGACGAGATGTGAGGCTCTAGAGCCTCGATTCACCCTGGTTGAGCTATTACGAGCCATGGGAAAACCTGCAGAGTTCAAAGAAGCGATACACAGGAAGAAGAAAGGAACAATAGAGAAAATATTTGAAGAACAGAGATTAGAACTGAGAAGGAGAGGAAAAACTCAATTTCATTCATGATCAATGATCCTTGACATTTTCCTATTTATACATTGCATTCCTCTCAAAGAAACAAAGAAAACACAAAAAGTGCACTGTTTGTGCACGTGCACAAGAACTAACTAACAAAACAGATTCTAACAGAAACAGTTTGCTGAGCTGGACAATTTAACTGAACTGAACATTATTTAAGGCCCTCTTCTTTACAGTCACTTGCAAATTACTCCCTAGGCCTCCAGTCTTTGCACAACAGTCCTTCAACTTGCGTGTCCCTTCTCACTTGACAGGTTTGTATCCACCTTGGCTAGATTGAGAGTGGTATCCCTCCTTGGCACAGTACTGATAGCATTAGTCCCTGACAAATTCCCTCCCCTTAATTTGGACCTTGTCTCAAGGTCAAAAGTGGGAAATCTTTTTACCAACTCCCAGTAAGGCTCCCAGGTAGCATCTAAGTGTGTGCGTTGCTTCCATTTGATGAGAACCTGTGATATCAATCTATTGCCCTTCATAACTGATCTTCTATCCAAAATTTCCTCTGGTTCATCAACAATCTCTTCTACATAGTTAGGAAAATCAACTTGGAGAACCACATCAGTTCCAACCCTCTTTTTCAGCTGAGATACATGAAAAACTGGGTGTATCTTAGCTTGTTCTGGTAAGGCCACCTTGTAAGCAACCTCTCCTATTTTTTCCAGAATTTGATAGGGTCCATAATACTTAGGAGAGAGTTTATGAGGCTTATGTGAAGAAACACTAATCTGTCTATAGGGTTGAAGCTTGAGGAATACCCAGTCACCAACATTGAAGCTCCTGGGACTCCTGTGTAAGTCAGCAAACTTCTTCATGTTATCAGCTGCCCTTTGTAAGCTGTCCTTTAGAAATTCCAGGGCTATATCTCTGGAAAAAAGAGCCTCATCCACTGCTTGAACTTTACAACTTTTAGGAATGTAGGAAAGCAAGGATGGAGGGGGTCTACCATACACAGCTTCAAAAGGAGTACATTGAGTAGATACCTTCCAAGTTGTATTGTACCAGAACTCTGCCAGTGGTAACCATTGGCACCATTCTTTAGGTTTATGACAACAGAAACACCTGAGATAGGCTTCCAAATTCTTATTTGTAATCTCAGTTTGACCGTCAGATTGAGGATGGTATGCAGAACTGAACCTGAGTTGGCTACCTTGCAATTTGAACAACTCCCTCCAAAATGAACTTGTAAATAGAGGATCTCTGTCACTCACAATGGACTTAGGCATGCCATGAAGCTTAAACACACCCTCAAAAAATATTTGAGCCACTGACTGAGCAGTATATGGGTATGAGAGAGCAAAGAAATGAGCATATTTGGTTAACCTGTCAACTACTACCATAATGGTGGATTTATTTCCACTCTTAGGCAAGCTAGTAATGAAGTCCATTGATAACTCTTCCCAAATCAAATCTGGAACTGGCAAGGGTTGGAGGAGTCCTGGGGAGGCCACATTCTCCCCTCTTCCAACCAATCATTTTGTATAGTGGAAATAGCTGAAACCTCAATAGCCTCTGTTGAGACTTCTTCTACATCCTCATATATCCTTGATAATCCATCAGCAGCCTTGTTTAGTCTCTCAGGTTTGTACTCCACAGTGTAGTCATACCCAAGCAATTTGGCAAGCCATTTGTTTTGAATGCCTGTGTGCATTCTCTGTTCAACTAAGTATCTGAGGCTTTGATGATCAGTTCTGATTTTAAAACTCCTTCCTAATAAGTACTGCTGCCATTTCTTTGTAGATAAGATGATTGCCAGGAGCTCTTTCTCATATGTTGAGAGGCTGATATTTCTTCCCTTTAAAGCAAAACTAAAATATGCTATAGGTCTCTCATTTTGCATTAATACAGCCCCAATACCAGAGTCACAAGCATCACATTCAATGACAAAAGTCATACTAAAATCAGGCATTGCCAGGACTGGTGGCTGAGTCAAAGCATTTTTCAGGGAGTTGAAAGCATCTTCAGCACCTGTAGACCATTTAAAAGCTCCTTTTTTCAAAAGACTTGTTAAAGGTTGAGCTATAACACCAAACCCTTTGATAAACTTCCTGTAATACCCTGCCAAGCCTAGGAAACCTCTTAGTCCTTTCAAAGTTTTAGGTATAGGCCATTCAACAATAGCACTAATCTTCAGAGGATCTACACCAACCCCTTCCTGTGAGACAATATGCCCCAAGTACTCCACTTGTTTCTTCCCAAAGCTGCATTTAGACATTTTTGCCACCAGTTGATGTTCCCTCATGAGCTCAAATACCTGTCTCAAATGAATCAGATGTTCCTGCCAGTTCTTACTATATATTAAGATGTCATCAAAAAATACCAATATAGATTTCCTGAGAAACTGTCTGAAGATGTTGTTCATAAGAGCTTGGAAAGTTGAGGGAGCATTTGTTAAACCAAAAGGCATTACCAGGAATTCAAAATGTCCATGATGTGTTCTGAAGGCAGTTTTTGGTATATCATGCTCATACATCCTAATCTGATGATAACCAGATTTCAAGTCAAGTTTAGTGAAGAATTTTGTTCCATGAAGTTCATCTAATAGTTCATCTATGACAGGAATAGGGAATTTATCCTTAATTGTGGACTTATTTAAAGACCTGTAATCTATGCATAACCTCCAACTACCATCAGATTTCTTCACCATAACCACTGGTGATGAGAATGGGCTGTTGCTGGGTCTAATGATACCCTTCTGGAGCATTTCTTCAATCTGATTTTCAATCTCTTCTTTCAAAAAATGTGCATGCCTATATGGCCTGAGACAAATAGGTTTGGTACCTTCCTCTAGAGGGATTTTATGATCTATCTTCCTGGTAGGGGGAAGTTGAGAGAGTTCCTGGAAAATGATCTCAAATTCCTGTATGAGTTTGTGCATGTCTTCAGGCACCTCTCCTGAGCTCAACTCAGTTGATGATTCTTGTAGGTTTACACTGCACAGCTGAATCAGGTAACCTTCTTCTTGTTCCCTGAAATTCTTAACAATGGTTTTCTCATTTACCACTTGCATTTCACCTGGAATGACCCCTTGTAAGACTCTTTTAATTCCCTCACTTACAAAGGTAACTTGCAGTTTCTTAAAATTCAGTGTAATGTCATCCAGTGTCTTCATCCAATCAGCCCCCAGTACAATTTGACTACCCCCCATCGGCATGACCAACATATTAACCTGAATCTTCACACCTTGGCAGTCTAATGGTACCTCCTGACAAACTCCAGCACCTTTAATCAATTCCCCACTAGCCACCAAGACATCAAAATTTTTTGATTCAGTTACTGTCAGCCCCAGTCTTTTAACTAATTTGGTATTGATGAAGTTATGTGTTGATCCAGAATCAATTAGAATGCTGACTGCTTGGTTTTTGTAATAACCTATTATTCTGATGGTATGGGAGGCAGTTATTCCACTTAAGGCCTGTACTGAGATGGAAGGAGCCCCTCTCACTAGGTTCTCTGTTAACTCTAAGGCCATAGAACCTGTTTGATCTGTTTGATCTTCTTCCACATCATAATCCCACCCCCCCTTCTAAAATTCCTTCTAACATGAATAATTTCTTCTCTTTGCATTGATGCCCCCTGTGCCATTTTTCATCGCAAGTAAAACACAAATTCTGGCTTCTCCTCCTTTGTATTTCTTCAGGAGTGATTTTCTTAATTTGGGTAGGGTAATGGTGGCTCCCTTTTACATTAGTATCATGGGTAAAAGTGGATGAAGGTCCTCCTGAATTTGAAGAATTCCAGCCTCCCTTAGGTCTTTTCTCATTTTTCTGTTTATCTTCAAACAGTTTAGCTAAAGAAACTGCACCCTTCAAGGAGGTTGGCCTAGCAGCTGCCACCTCATACTTTAATTCTTCTTTAAGCCCCCCTATGAATTTTTCAAGAATATGTCTCTTTGATGGCTGGTCATCTAACAAACTCAGTGTCTGTTCAAACCTTCCCAGATATTCTCTAACTGTTGAGGTTTGTTTCATTGTTGAAAAGGCATCATAAGGTCTTGAAAGCTCACTAGGACCAAATCTAGTGATTAATTCATCTCTAAACACATCCCATTGGTTGTAATCCTCAAGATTTCTAACCAGCCACCTATACCACTGTAATGCCTCATCTCTCAAATAAAAGGAGCAAACCTTAACCCACTCATCATCCTTGATGTCATAGTAATCGAAAATTTGTTCAGTCTGCTCTAACCATGCCACCACATTCTCACTACCAGAAAAAGAAGGGAAATCCAATCTCAAGGATTTAGGTTGAACCAACTTTTGATTATTGAAGAAAGAATTCTTCTGAGTCATGGAATTACCAAAATTATAAGGTGGTAAATGCTCACCAGAGAAATCAGATCTTCTTTGTGCTCGTTGGTTGATTTCCTGAACTGGATTTCTATAACCAGGACCAAGAAATCCATGATTCCCTCTCAAACTTGAACTCCAGATTTCTTGCTCACTTCTTACTCCAGAGCTTGATCGGGTGAATTCTTGAACTGGATCCCTAAGACCAGAACCAAGAGTTCCTTGATTCCCTCTCAAACCTGAATTCAAGGTTTCTTGTTCATTTCTCACTCCAGAACCTGTTGGCCCTTTGTTCAGGTTCTGAGAATTCTTGAGTTCTTGCAATTGAGACGAGATCTCTCTCAATTGTATAGCTAATTGTTGAAAGTTAGATTCCTGTTGATGATTGAAGGATTGCTGTTGAGTGAGAGCACCTTCCACTCGAGCAAACCTCTCATCTTGATTCATCTCTTCCCAGGAACTTCCTCATGATCCGCCATTGAACCATCCGCAGCATTAGCTTCAGCTTCCAGTTGCTCTGATACTGTGAGGCTCTAGAGCCTCGATTCACCCTGGTTGAGCTATTACGAGCCATGGGAAAACCTGCAGAGTTCAAAGAAGCGATACACAGGAAGAAGAAAGGAACAATAGAGAAAATATTTGAAGAACAGAGATTAGAACTGAGAAGGAGAGGAAAAACTCAATTTCATTCATGATCAATGATCCTTGACATTTTCCTATTTATACATTGCATTCCTCTCAAAGAAACAAAGAAAACACAAAAAGTGCACTGTTTGTGCACGTGCACAAGAACTAACTAACAAAACAGATTCTAACAGAAACAGTTTGCTGAGCTGGACAATTTAACTGAACTGAACATTATTTAAGGCCCTCTTCTTTACAGTCACTTGCAAATTACTCCCTAGGCCTCCAGTCTTTGCACAACAGTCCTTCAACTTGCGTGTCCCTTCTCACTTGACAGGTTTGTATCCACCTTGGCTAGATTGAGAGTGGTATCCCTCCTTGGCACAGTACTGATAGCATTAGTCCCTGACACGAGATCTCGCCGGAAATTTGCTCACCGACGAGAAACCATGCCTTATTGGTTAGTTGGATCAATTAAAATGTCTTAAAGCGGGTTTGCCTATTTACAATACCTTGTTGGAAATTAGGGTGGAATTAAAATACCAATATGGGTATTTAGCCCCTAAAATACTATACCAACTTATTTTTAATAAAAAAAATAAGGAAAAAGAAAATGAAAAGGAATTTGAGGATGGAAATAATTAAGAATGTGTTTCTACTCATTTATTTATAAAAAAAATAGGAAATATATTTCTTTAAGTATGAGTCACGTCTACCAATGAAAAATGTGCCACATAATCTTTTCGCTTTATTTCATCTTGTGAACCAAACAAAATAATGTAATCATTATAAGAAATACATTTCTTATAATTGATTTCCTTAATATTTGGCCAAACAAAACAGCACTTTAGAATATAGTAACTTGCACTAAAATGTAGCAACTTAAATATAAATATAGTTGATATTGGCTCGATTACATCCTTGGAGTTGAGGATGTCATATACTTTCTGTATACAATCACAATTAGTAATGGTCCCTGTCTTCAATAAAAAAAAGTAATGATATCATGCTGGGGCTCAGTTTGAAGGTCTGATATTTATTTCTTTAAAAAACATATAAATATTAATATATCATTACACAAAATCATAGCAAGAAACTAGAATAAAAATTCTATCAGAACATTCGACGGCATGAGATGCCTATATGATTGACTCATAGTTAGAGAGTTAGTTTCATGGTTATAGCTATTCTATAAGCAGTCTGATATGACTCCTACTGAAAAGTTAACCAATAGTATATAGAGAATGGATTCAAAAACAATTTAGCATGTGTTTGGAATAAGACCGGTTTGAAATAAAGCAGGATAAAACTCTGGTTTTGCAAAGAAAAACTTTTAAAATAACATTTGTTAAAGGGGATTTTTTTTTTACAAAGACCGTCTTCGAAACTTTGTTGGCAAAGTCAACCGTTCGCGGATTTAATTAGCAAAATGAATCTCTTTTGTTAATTTTAAAAAATATAATTTTAAAAATACGCGGAACTAGTAGTCACGTGTAATTAGTGTTAATAAAGTTTTAAAAAAGCCTGTTTTTTAATTCTTTAGTTAATTTTGTTAATAAAGTTTCAAAAAAACTTTTTTTGTTAATTCTCCTTCGTCAAATGCTGTCATAAATGTGGAGAGAGAAATGGTCAGAGAGTTGTCAGAGAGAGGATCTTGGCCGTCCGCTTGCTGGGGAGTTGGGGGTATGGTCAGCTGGCTTTCCACGTGGACGTCACTGGCCATTACTAAATCGTGGAAGCTTCTAGAGAGGAACTTGCTCGTTGCTAGTGGGCTTCCACGCGGTTCCCACTACACTGCAGTTTTGCTTGTCACGCTCCAAATTCTAACTATTTATTATAAATTCAGGTGTTAATTTCACAAAACCCCCTGAACTTTGAGGGGTTCTGCACGAAACCCTCTTGAATTTCTTGTATTCCACTAGACCCTTTGAGGCTTTCTTTTTAACCCCTAAGGCGAGGTCATCAGTCTGGTGTTCCACGGGCCAAAGCACATGATAAAAAAAGGCGATAAATACCACATCAAACATTCACAATCTAATAGGATAATCAAAAGAATAAAAGGGCCGTTTTTTAGGGCTTAGGGGTATTTTTCTTTTTTTTATTATAAATATTTATGAATCGCGTAACATGTTAGACTTGTTGGTGCTACTTGCAGTGTTAGGTGAAAAATCTTTAAGGAGTTCCTTCGAATGAAAGATGTTCAGA